TCGCGGGAAGATGCAATCAGAATTCTTCGGCCGAGAACAAGGAGCAGAGTCGCCGCAGCAATTCCTCCAGAGGAAGGCACAGCTAGCAAAACGGCTGAAGATCCCGATCGGCGAGCACCTCGAGCTACTGAGAGACCTGCTGCACCCACGCATTAGAGTAGCCTTTTTAACCACAACACCCACTTCACTCCTCGACTTGGTGCGTCACGCCGAGGAAATCGAAAACTGCAACAAAGCGCTACCTCGAAACAATCAACCCAGACCATCGCCACCAACCCCCGCCGACAGACCTCCCAACACACCAAAGTGCCACCACTGCCCGGAATATCACTTCCACCGAGACTGCCCAGTACTGACCCGCCGCCGAGACCAGGGAAACGGGGCAGCGGTCGGGAACAATGCCCGGCCGTCCACCTAATCCAGACTGCGACCCGACCCAACCTACCAACGCTGGCAGTCAAGGTACGCGGAAAAAGCGTAAGAGCTCTCCTCGACTCCGGATCATCCCATAACTTCATCCAGAAGGAGCTCGCGTGGAAAATCCACCATAGCAACCACCAAACAGCCGGCCTAGCGAACCCCCGCCATCAGCTGGAAGTCATCGGCACATCCAGAGTCGAGTACACGCTCAACGACAAGCAAGAATCGGACGACTTCCTGGTGACACCAAACCTTGTCGTGCCCATGATCTTGGGACAGAAGTGGCTCCAAGAACATCGAGCGGTGCTGGATTACGAGAGAGCGTGCATCCACTGGGGAACCCATACAAGGCAGACAACACACTGGGACCAAGCTCCGAACCGCGGCCCAACAACGAGCGACTCCATAAACTTCGCCGGAGTCAAGCACGGGTTCCAACCACCACTCGATCGACGCCTGGCCACACTGCTGGAAACTTTCGGTAGCACACTGGCCGATCCTGCAACGCCCACAACAACAGCATCCACCACACATCGCATCCGAGTCACCAAAACAACGCCCTTCCGACTTCCGCCATATCGACATTCGCCAAACAAAAAGAAGGTCATCGCGGATGAAGTGGAAGCTATGTTAGCAGCGCAGGGAGCCCAGCACGTCCGAATATTGCTCGCCCATCGTCATAATTCAGAAAAAAGACGGCCGCCCGAGATTCTGCATCGACTACCGTCGTCTAAACGCCATCACAAAAGACGAGAGCACCAACCTGCCAGTCATACAGGAGACCCTCCGAGACCTGGGGACGGCCAAAGTTTTTTCCAGCCTGGATCTCAAATCAGGCTACTGGCAGGTGCCGCTAGAGACGGAATCCCGACATCTCACCGCGTTTTCAACCCCTGATGGAGCGAGTTATCAATTCAAAGTAATGCCGTTCGGGCTCAAGAATGCACCTGCTACGTTCCAGAAGCTAATGACCCAGGACGTTCTCGCCGGGTATTTACGGAAATTCGTCATGGTATACCTGGATGACATAATAATCTACTCAGACTCCTGGGACGAGCACCTCAAACATCTACACCTCGTGCTGGAACGACTGCAACGCCACAAACTCGGCTTGTCCCTCGAAAAGTGTCGCTTCGGGGTGCAAACGATCCAATACCTGGGCCACAACATCACGGCGAACGGGAACCGCCCGTGCCAGGAACACATCGAAGCAATCCGGACCGCAGACCGGCCCACCTCGAGGAAGAAGCTAAGAAGTTTTCTAGGATTGACCAAATGGCTACGAGAGTACGTGCCCCGGTGTGCCGAATTACAAGCACCGTTGGATAACTTACTAACAAAGAACACCCCTTTCCGATGGACAGCGGCAGCCGACGTCGCCTTTAGCCAGTTAAAAGCAGCACTTAGCAAACCACTCCAACTCAGCCGTCCGGACTTCGCCACTCCATTCGTGCTGCAAACCGACGCCAGCGAAAACGGGATTGCGGCCGTACTCTTTCAAGAACCCCACCCCGGAGAGAAAAAAATTATCAGCTACGCCAGTGCCAAACTTAACCACGCGCAGAGACGCTACCATATCAACGAACAGGAGGGCTTGGCAGTAGTGTGGGCCATTAAACGATACCGGCCATATCTGGAAGATAGACGTTTTACGTTGAAGACAGACAGCCGCGCTCTCCTGTGGCTGGATCGCACAAAAGACGAAAAGAGCAAGCTAACTCGTTGGGCATTACGGCTCCAAGAATTTACATTTGATGTGGTCCACTGTCCGGGGAAAGAAAACGAGCTTCCAGACCACCTGTCCCGCCACCCATCAGCAGAAGAAGCCGAAGAAGCCACGGCAGAAGACGTAAACCGCATGCTGCCACCTACGACCACACACGAGTCCAAACAAACCAACAGCACCCCGGTAATCGCGGCAGTGGAAGTGGCCAATTTGGCGGACCATGTGAAGGAGTGCCAAAAGACAAACGAAAACGCCATCGTTCTGGTACGCACCTGGCACAGAATACAGCAGGAAGGACCAGCGACACCAGCACAAGCAAGGTTCAACCGGGATTACACGGTGGACAACGGTTACCTCTACCGCAAAGCACCCCAAGGGAACCTACTCGTAGTCCCCGGCAGCCTTCAACCAGCGGTACTAGAAGCGTACCACAACGCAGCCACAGCTGGACACCCAGGAGCCGAAGAAACGGAACGGGCCATAATGACACATTACCACTGGGCGAAACTGGGAGACACGGTGCGGAATTATGTACGAGCATGTTGGATTTGCGCGGCAGTCAAAAGAGGCCCGGTCCAGGACGCCACCGTACGCCCACGCAAACCCACACGACCCTGGGAAGCGGTTTCCGTAGACTTGATGGGCCCCTACGACGCCACACCTACAGGCTACCGCCAGATAGTCGTGATCACGGACCTCTTCAGCATGTGGGTGGAGGCATTTCCAGTAAAGGAAGCAGTCGCTCCAACAGTGGTCAGAATCCTGGAACACGAGGTATTCGCACGCTATGGTTTCCCGAGAGCGATCATCTCAGACAACGGACCGCAATTCACATCAGTGACATGGGACGCGGCACTTCGGAAGTGGGGAGCAATGCACTGGACAACGCCCATATGGCACCCGCAGGCGAACCCCGTCGAACGCCGGAACCAAGAAATCAAAAAGGGCCTCCGCACTCATCTGGTGGGACAAAGCCCCAGCGCCTGGGCGGCCGTACTACCCATTGTCATGTTCACGTTACGTACGAGGAGAAACGCCGCTACTGGACTCACGCCGAGCCACGCGCTGCTAGGCTACGACCTACCCAGGCCAGGAGAGTGGAAAGCCAGGGATCGACCACCTCCACCGACAGGAGAAGCCCGAGAGGAGGTCGTACAGACGGTGCACAGGAACCAGGCACGATCCCGCAGCCGGTACGCGAACTACGGGCCAGCCCGCACCCAGTACCAAGTAGGCGACGGAGTGATGGAAAGATCCAGGGACCAACACTCCGGGAACTTTCACATGAAGTACACAGGTCCCTACACCATCGAAGCGCTGGCGGGCACAAACGCGTACTGGATAAGGCGAGGAAACGAACTGGTAAAGGTGCACGTACACGATCTACGCCCTGCACCCAACCAACCCACCCCGGCACCAGTACCGGAACTTCCGCCAAGAATCATTTCACCGACGCCACCACGGAACCAACGACAACCCCGTCACCGCCGTTTGCTACAGCGCCTGCACCCCGCCGTCGCAACCCCTTTACAGGGGGGGGATACTGTTACGACGACTAGGAGAGGGGTTGCAACTTCCACCCCCCCATCCACTAGCGCCCTATTGGCCGCGTCGCCAGACGCCTCTACCGGAAATCGTTTATAAGCAGCGCACCGACAGGGGAACTTCACTTGTGCCTGGGCAAGCCTACCTTACCCTATACAAGCGACTGAGGCTGGTCGCTTGGGCTCAAGTACCGTCTCCGCACGCCATCACTTCCCGGCTTGACCGTAGTCAAGTCCGGCGCCATCCCACGTGCCAGAAGCGATCTTATATATGTACATATAGCCTCTGTATTATTTGTAAATATTGTGTAATATACGTTTTCAACCTCCGTTTGCCACTTACGTTACCCCGCCCGGTAACAGAATGCAACGATATAATATTTTATGGTTTTTGTAATTCAACATTCGGTTACTACAGAAATATTTTACTCGCTCTCCTTCCTATTATTTTAACTACAATCACCCGCTTTATTGGCCAAGGGGAGTGGTGTAGGGGGGCGCGCTCGTCTCTGATTGGCTGTGATTACTGAAATTGGCTTCAAATGCAATTTTTGTTTTCGTTTAAAGCGTCCATGTGTTGGAAACAATTTTGATGTTGAAAATGATTATAGTAGGTTACCTATATTATCCCCCATTTCAAGGATGTGGAGCCTGAGATTTTCTTAAACTTGTCTTAAGATGCATTTTTGGTCCATCTGGGACCGGATCAGCTTGTTTTTGCTCTCAGGAAAACTTCCTTTAGTTAGAATTTTGTTTGTATACGTTGAAAACGAGAGGGACATAGACCTTCACTTTAAATTTCTGGGACCTGAGGTTTTGGGCATAGGGAATTTCTTTCTAAAACCACCCGACAAAGCGAGACCCTGTAATAGGTCTCAGTAAAGTCACTAGATATAGAAAGTACCGCAATCATCCGCCATTTTTGGGCAAATTTGCTGCCAACTTAAAAAAATTGACAAATAAAATCTGAATAACTGTCATTTTTTATAACCTAACTTCATAGTACTGTCATGTTTTATAAAAATATATACAGATATCTCCAAACAGGTGGAACAATCCCTAACATTAAAGTTACTAGAATCTGGTAACTTCCGCCATTTTTGGGCAAAAATCATGCGTTCTCTCTCTAACACACGAGCCCAATGGATTGCGGTACTTTCTATATTTAGTGACTTTAGGTCTCAGTACTCTCATGGTGTGTTTTTGGGGATGGAAACGAAACTGTCCTCGTTCTTAATTTTGTTTGTGGATTTTGAAAATGGTAAAATTTTTGGGACCGGAGATTCCATTTTGTAGATTTCTTCGCCTCGTCTGTTTTATAAATTCTATAAATTAACAAATTTTATTACGCATACGAAAATAAAAAAATATGCTATCCTACTGGTATGTAAAACTTAAAATCTATGGTCCTAAGGTATAATTTGTCACCGATTCTACTAATAATATATAACACGACAATTACGATCACATTTAGTAACGAAAACCTACGTTGGTGGTTCGGCGGACTACCGGTACATTAGGGTGCGCCATATTCGCCAGAGGGCGCTGATGGTGGCCCGTACGACTGAGGTACTCCGCTGTCGGGGTAGCCGCTCTCTTGTTTCTGAAAGTGGTCCGGTGATTCGGTTGCATTCGGGTAAATGAGGTGCGCTTACCTGTGTTTTGTACCGAATGAAATACACCTCCGGTTTGCTCGGTTGCGTGGGAGCGGGGGTTGGTATGACGATCTCCGGTTCGGGTTCGGGTTTCTTCACGAGGACGTACACCAGCGTCTTCTCCTCGTTTTGCGGTTGCACTGGAATGACTGGCGCTGTTGGGGTTGGTGGAGTAGGTGCCTAAAATGGCAAAAGGTAATCGTTTTACGTGCTTTCTATTGGCTTGCCTTTATGAAGATAATCTTGTAGTGCTTCTGCGCAGGCGCCACTGGTATGGTCTTGCGCGGTGCAGGGTACTCATTTTCAGGTGGTGGAACGTGGACGTAGACGTGCTTGTGTACTATTGGTTGTTGTGGCGGTGCTCCGTATTGAGGTGCTGGTGGACCGTAGCCGTTACTCGGCGCACTTGGAGAATAGCCATTGAAACCAGCTTCTGGAGATGGGCGACATTGCACCGCAACGACGAATAGTATGGCCTGCATAAACAAGAAAATTTAGTCAACGAGACACAAGTAGGTATCTACATAACAGTTGAATTGCTTCATTTCTGGGCTCCTGATACAAAAAAATTCTAAAATCGTTTCAGTCTCTACGGTATTTATTCAATTTTCGGGACTTTGTTGGTATCAGGACATTAAAGGACGCAAGTAAGGATCTAGACAACAGTCGACTCTCGACTGTCTTCATTTCTGGGCTCCTGATACAAAAAATCTCCGATTTTCCGGATTTTGAAGCTATCAGGAGACTATAAAACGCGAATAGGTATCTACACAGTATTTGAATTTCTATATTTCTGGACTCCTGGTACAATTTTGCATTAGCATCGCGTTTGAATTAATTGTTTTATTACGAGAACAGATCCAAGTGTTCCAAGATTGCTACCAAAGTGCAGTGCAGGTATCAGGAAAATAAAAGGCGCGAGCAGTTTGTTTCACTTCGGCGCTCCTGATGCAAAAAATCGCTCTTTGATGAGGCATTAACGTCAAATTAGTAATCATAAATTCCTCGACATCTGCATCCCTAATAAAAGTCAATTTCTCAATGACGCGAGTGGGTAGTCAAAGATCTCTCCATTTCTGTGCTGCTGATACAAAAAAAATCATTATTTGAAGACGCATTGCCGTCAAATAAATAAAACAGCTCCCCCACTTCTACGGACACAATGAATGTAATGGAGTAAGTAAATCTGTGGTTTCGACCTCTGGGACCCTGATAATTTGTACTTTAATGCCAATTACCTGTTAAGTAAAACATAAAAATGAGCACGAATTAGGAGCAAACAGTTATCAATTGCAAGAGTAGATAAATACAGGGTTTTTTCACTTCTGTGCTCCTGATACAAGCAATCATTGCCATTAGAACCATAAATCAACTTCGTCGACTGCTGCACAAATTAAAGTAACGAGTTTTATGTTGGCCAACTGATTAGAAAACTATAAGAAAACACATGTCTGTACCCCTGATACAACAGAATCATCAGATCAAATCAGATTCCTTGACTTCTGCGCTCCCGTGCAAAGTGATCGTGTTTATTTCAATTTTTTCTTAGGAGAACATCAGGAATACGAAAATTTAATGTGTCTAAGTGCCTAATGTATTTAACTCATTTTAGTGAGAATGAAAGTCTGACCTGAATAAAAAAAACCCGAGAGAATAGTTGAGAATTCTCCATTTCAATGCTCCTGATACAAACATTTATTCCTTGAGGACGCCAAAGAGATCAGCTTCCTCGACTTCTGCGAGCCTGATGATTGTGATCGCCTCCTTGTTTATTTTGCGGTTACAAAAACATAAGGGGTGTGAGGGTTCTAAAACTGAAGGTGCTTCTAAGCTACGTTCCTAATCTGTTGCGGTGATTTAGAGATAGAGAATAAATAACGCGTTTCTGATACTAAAAATCATTTGTTGAAGGCCCATTGGAATCAAATAAGTAAAGCAGTTCAGACGACAACTGCGCTCCTGATGAAAGTTCCAAAAAATTAAGTTTCTTTGACATGAAAATCACGTAATTTTTGCATTTCTGTGCTCTTTGAAGACGAATTGACATTAAATCCTCAACGTCTGTGACCCCCGTAAGCCACTTCTGCGTTCCTCATGTAAAATAGTAAGATAAATAAAAAAAACAGTTGCGATTTTACATTTCTGTGCCCCTGATACAAAAAACTTAATTAGTGAGCAGTGACTGTTCCATAATGTAAGTTACTTCTACGTTCCTAATGGGTTTCACCGATTACGGTGATGTAAATAAAAAGTTTTTGAGTTTCTCTCCTCCTGATAGAAAAATCCACTCCGCTCCTGTATCCTTGGGAAATGTATTTCGCCAATTTTAGTGACATTAATTAAAAAACGCCAGTGAGTTGTTGCCGATTTTTCTCTCCTGTGCTCCTGATACAAAAAATCTTATGGAATCAAAAAAATGAATCAGCATCTTTTGCTTCTTCGTTCCTGATTAAGGTGATTATTTTTATGTCAATTTTTTAAGAACGAGAACATAGGTCGTGTGACCAGGAGGCGTGGTGACCAAACGTTCAGTTGCTCCTACACTACTTTTCTATTCTGTTTGGTGTCACGTTAATAAAGATCACGAACGTCAGTTGAAAATGTTTCATTTCTGTGCTCCTGATACAAAAAATCAACTAACAAATCAGCTTTTTCGACTTCTGTGCCCCTGATGAATCTTTTTGTTACTAGGCCACCTTCCTTATTAGGAGAACATAAAGGTTGCTCTAGGTTCGTAATTTATTTCACCGATCTTAACGGCATTGAATCAAAAGCACGAGTTCCATTTCTGTGCTCCTGATACAAAAAATCATTTTAAGATGCATTGGCATCAACTTTTTCCGGCCCTGATGATGCTATTTGTTTCAATGTCAATTTGTTGATGACGAGAACTAGTGCGCATGTTCAATTTTACCGACTGTAGTGACGCAGACGCAGAAAGAAAGCTCCTGATACAAATGATGATTCTCTGTAACGCATTATCATGAAATAAATAAAGTACGCCTGGGATTCTCTACTCCTGATGCAAAACACATTTTTCTTGTAATAAGATGTAAAAACTGTCGAGCATAATCTGTTACATTATGTACCCCTGATACAATTATTTATTTCAAAGGATTAAAAGGATACTTGAAGATGTAAAAAAGGCACAATTAGTTGTTGAGCACCATGTTGTTCTCCCGTTATAAAAACCATTGCAGCAGGATGTAAAAAGGACTAATTGTCGAGGATCTTCTGTTATATTATGTTCTCCTAATGCAAATTTTCCTTCACAAAACATTATGTCAGGACTAAAGGAACAGGAAAATAACGTATAGCATCTTCTGCTATTTTAAGTCTCCTGCTACCAAGGTTTAAAAAGTATTGTATCAGGATCATACGAATTCATGTAAAGGTAAGAAGAGTCGGCCGTTCAGATTCTGTCACATTATGTTCCCTTGATTTTTATTTTAAAACATTACTGTATCAGGATTACATGAATGTTCTCGTGATACTAATTTTTCTTTTATAGAATTATAGTACCACGTTCATAAGCAAGCAAAAGACGTTAAAAATTAGCTGTCGAGCACTTTCTCTCATATTAGGTCCTCCTGATACAAAATTCCTACGAAAAGGTATTTTCGCAGGATTATACGCAGTAAATTACCTACTAACTTTTACAAACTGTCACAAAATTATTGTATCAGGATCATAGCAATGCAAGAAGATGTAAAGTATCAGGATTACATGAATGTTCTTGTGATGTTCATTTTTCTTTCATAGAATTATAGTAGGTACCACGTTGATAAGGACGTAAAAGACGTTAAGAATCAGCTGTCGAAAAGGTATTTTCGCAGGATTATACGCAGTAAATTACCTACTAACTTTTACAAACTGTCACAAAATTATTGTATCAGGATCACAGCAATACAAGAAAATGTAAAGTATCAGGATGACATGAATGTTCTCGTGATACTAATTTTTCTTTTCTAGAATTATAGTACCACGTTCCTAAGGATGTAAAGGACGTTAAAAATTAGCTTTCGAGCACATTCTTTCATATTATGTCCCCCGTGATACAAAAGTCCTACGAAAAGGTATTTTCGCACGATTAAACGCAGTAAATTACCTTCTAACTTTTACAAACCGTCACAAAATTATTGTACCATTCTTGTAGCAATACAAGAAGCTGTAAAGTATCAGGATGACATGAATGTGTTCGTGATACTAATTTTTCTTTCATAGAATTATGGTGCCACGTTCATAAGGATGTAAAAGACGTTAAAAATTAGCTGTCGAGCACATTCTCTCATATTATGTCCTCCTGATACAACACTCCTACGAAAAAGTATTTTCTCAGGATTAAACGCAGGAAATTTCCATTTGACGTCCCCCACCGTACTATGTACTCCTTTTAAAATTCTTTCTGTCACAAAATTATTGTATCAGGATCATAGCAATACAAGAAGATGTAAAGTATCAGGATTACTTGAATGTTCTTGTGATACTCATTTTTCTTTCATAGAATTATAGTTCCACGTTCATACGGATGTAAAAGACGTTAAAAATTAGCTGTCGAGCACATTCTCTCATATTATGTCCTCCTGGTACAAAATTCCTACGAAAAACTATTTTTTATGATTAAAAGCAGAAAATTGCCATCTAACGTCCCCAGCCGTATTATGCTCTCCTTTTACAATTCTTTCTTTCACAAAATTATTGGATCATAGCAATACAAGAGGATGTATAAAGTATCAGGATGACATGAATGTTCTCGTGATACTAATTTTTCTTTCATAGAATTATAGGTACCACGTTCATAAGGATGTAAAAGACGTTAAAAATCAGCTGTCGAAAAGGTATTTTCGCAGAATTAAACGCAGTAAATTACCTTCTAACTTTTACATACTGTCACAAAATTATTGTATCAGGATCATAGCAATACAAGAAGATGTAAAGTATCAGGATGACATGAATGTTCTCCTGATACTCATTTTTCTTTCACACATTTATAGGACCACGTTCATAAGGATGTAAAAGACGTTAAAAATTAGCTGTCGAGCACATTCTCTCATATTATGTCCTCCTGATACAAAATTCCTACGAAAAGGTATTTTTGCAGGATTAATGGCAGTAAATTACCTTCTAACTTTTACAAACTGTCACAAAATCATTGTATCAGGATCATAACAATACAAGAAGATGTAAAGTATCAGGATTACATGAATATTCTCGTGATACTAATTTTTCTTTTTTAGAATTATAGTACCACGTTCATAAGGATGTAAAAGACGTTAAAAATTAGCTGTCGAGCACATTCTCTCATACTTATGTCCTCCTGATACAAAATTCCTACGAAAAAGTCGTTTTCTCAGGATCAAACGCAGGAGATTACCATCTAACGTCCCCTGCCGTATTATGTTCTCCTTTTACAATTCATTCTTTCACAAAATAATTAACTATTAATTAACTGCCGAGAGTGTTCTGCCGAATTGTGTTTTCAAAAGAGACTAAAAGCGCGCGGCAACGTAAAAAATTTGTGGTTATCATCCTTAAATTTGTTCAGTTAATTACTAGCTGACATGTTGAAAAAGGGGTTAATGAATTAATAAAGAATAGGTAGGGATTATTTCGGGGATTTTTTGAAGGCATTCGGGTCTGAACCACTTGTACACCGGTAATAGTTATCTATAACACAAGATGATTTTCCTCAGAGAGGCACAAGAGAATCGAGATCTTTAAAGGCTTGTCGAAATAAGGAGATTTTAGTGAAAAAGGAGGAGAAATTTGGCGCAAGTTTGGAACACAGTCGTCATAAGTACAAGCTTCATTATCCTGAAAATGTCCATACAACGAGAGGCATGGGTCTCAGGGATACTGCAGTAGCGTCCCGACAGCGATCCATTATCCAATTTTTCTTGGAGGGAGCCTTCTTTTTCAAAGGAGACTATTCGTTCACTGTTCCCAGAGATAATTTGCAGCGGGTGTTTGTTTGATGTAATTATAATATCGACTTGCGGAAATTAATTGCATGAAAGAGATTTGTATTGCATTTACTGATTACAATTGGATCCATACAATGGAATTGTTGAGGTATCAGGAGAACAAGCGGAAAATCATTGAAAAGAAAAAGAAAAAAAGTAAAATTGAGGAATTGCGCTTTGGACTATACAGGACTTTTTCCAACAAACTGTAATACAGGGTGGTCATTATCATCATTACACGTTTCGAAGATTAATGATTAGTGTGAATGCAACCAACTGTAAGTATCAATCACGTCCACGCTCTCTTAATTACAATTTAAAACAAAAGATGCAATTACAAACTGAAAGTGATGATAATTACAAATTCACTTACATAATAACAACAATAACGGTAGTGCAACCAGAGCTTTTCCTTGTACGAATAAACGCCGTACTTAAATAATTAACTATCGCCGGTTAATTGCCGCATTTAAACGAATTATAAAATCTAAACTGGCGGAACGCTCAAATAATTACTTTTCCTTTCGGCCATTGTCTTCCCATCGCGAGCGTTTCAATAACAATTAATAAGCGGGCGGGAAAAATTAATTAGCCCGAATTTCTCCGCATTGTATTTCGAAATTCTCACGTACTACGCCGTTTGGGAAAGTGAAATCGCGCTAATGAACGTGGAAAATTGCACTTACCACAAGGAACCTCATGACGTTGTCGCACCCGCACTCTGCACGGAAACACAATACCGAACGATTAACCTGTCCGTCAATCTTTATAACCGCCCACCCCCGATCGGTTTCAAATTTGAATCGAACGCGCGCTTGGTACCGCTGATAGGAGCTCGAGAGGGAGAGGGCCAATTGAAGATGGCCCCACTCATCTCCCCGGTTTTTTTTAATAAACATCGTGATGAAAGGTAAAAGTATTTTTAATTTTTTTTATGTGCGTTGCATAAGCTCAATTTTGTAATTAGGAACCGGATCTAATATTAGATGGACTAATTTGAATTTCGAAGGGCGCCACTTTCTTCCTCATCATCGTTCGCTTTTTGTTTAGTATATTACTTTCGTGGTACGTGATTGAATGCGACCATCGTTTTTTTAAGGCGCCAATTGCTAGATACGGATAAGGAAGACGGTTTCTCTTCGACGCCCGTCCACGTTTTCGCAAATCGAAAATGCGAAGCTTACGCAATCTCCTTCGCCAATTCGAAATGGTGCTAACGGCCCTGTTAATGGGACATTATCGGTGTGGACACGGGCACGTAGTCGATTGTATGCGACATTTCTTCTCTTGCGAAAGAAGAGAAGCTTCCGGCAACAAAAGAGTGTTAGAGACAATTGAAGAATCCATTTTTAATTTTCAATACAAATGTATATCAGTTTCAGGGACTGACTTTGGTCCTTGGTTTCGTCCCAAAAGTACTCAAGAATAGACCATAACTCGACTCAATTCGGTGAAGCAACCTTCGAACGTCCTTTGCCAAAAACTCTCATGAAAGTGTTAAAGGCTCAGAATTTATTATAGAAGTCGTGACACCGGGGGCGTGAGGATATGGAATGCCCCCCCCCCCCCAGTATACGGAGGTTTAGTAAACTTTCCTCGCCATGAGGCCAATAGAGAAAGAATTATTGCGTCCTCCTTTTTAACTAATGGTAATCTCTCTGCTGAGGGGTGTTGCATACCCCCTACACCACCTGGTACTATGCTCTCCCCTAAAAAAGGTTTATTGAGAAAAATTTGACTTGAGAGTGACATGAGAGTATAGAAGCCTCAGAATTTATGTTAGGTATCGAGATATCTTGGGATCTAGGGGGTATGGAATACCCCCCAGTATATGGTGTTCTGGTATTCCTTTCCGAAAGGTCACCATGAAGGGGTAATAATAGAGAAAAAATTGTTGAGTCCTCCTTTTTATCTGATGGTAATCTCTCTCTTGGGAGTATTCCATATTCCTAGACCCTCTGGTACTTACGGAACAATTTTACTCTCCTTTCCCAGAAACTTATGCTATTACTCAAGTACGAAATTACTAATTTTGTGCTAATTATGTGCTACTACACTTTTTATAGAAAAATGACCAGGATCAAGTGATATGCACAACATAAAAGTTGCTATTACTAATTAGTGTACTACCACTACTTGCTTTATTTTAAAATTCCAATACCTTTTGTGCTAATCTTGTGCTACTACATTTTACAAAAATGCTACGATTAAGTGCGATGCATTACGAAGCAAGCACGAGATTGTTAACTTTGTGCTACTACACATTTTACAAAAAAATACTAGGATTAAATGATGTGCATTATGAAGCAAGTACGAAATTAGTAAGTTTGTGCTACTGAAATTTTGGGTTTTTGTGCTAATGTTGTGCTACTATACCATCTACAGAAAAAATGACCAGGATCAACTGCACATAGAGACAAGTTGCTATTACTCAACTGCGAAATTTTGTGCTACTACAGCTTTGATAGAAAAACTGACCAAAATCGAGTGAACGAAAACAGTTGCTCAACTACGAAATTGCTACTGAACCTTTAAATTTTTGTGCTCACTACACCTTTTACAAAAAAATGTTGTTACTACTATTGGTTGGGTTGGTAGAGTAGCTTCGGCTGAAACCCCGCCCACTTAAAAATAAAGGCAAAATAAATAAAAAACTCAATTATGAAATTGCTGATTTTGTGCTACCGAAGCTTCGGGTTTTTGTGCTACTACAAATTTCAGAGAAAGAAATGACGAGAATGAAGTGACGTGTGCACAATGAAATAAGTTGCTATTACTCAACCACGACATTGTCAATCTTGCGCTACTGAAGCTTTCAGTTTTGGTGCTAATTTTGTGCTACTACACCTTTCACATAAAAAAAAGACAATGATCAATTGATGTACACAATAAAAACACTTGATATTACTCCAAACTTGCTTATTTTGTACTGGGTTTTGTGCTAGTTATGTGCTACCGAAGCTTCGGGTTTTTGTGCTATTTTTGTGCTACTACACCTTTCACAGAAAGAGACAATGATCAATTGACGTGTACAATAAAAACACTTGCTGCTACTCAATGACGAAATTGTGGTGTTGAAACTTGTTTTTGTGCTAGTTTTGTGGTATTTCATCTATTACAGAACAAAATGATCACGAAAAAAGTTAAGACTCAACCACGAACTTGCTAATTTTCTTCAACTGAAGCTTTCGGTTTTGTGCTAGTTTTGAGCTACCGCACCGTTTACAGATAGAATCACCAAGATTAAGTGATGTGCACAACGAAAAAAGTTGCTGTACGCAACTATGAAATTGCTAATTTTGTGCTACTGGCTATTGAAAAAACTCGCAATTTGTTTTTTTGTGCTACTGGAGCGTTGAATTGTTGTGCTAGGTTTGTGCTAGAATGTAATTTACAGAAAAAAGGATGAAGTGGTGTGCACAACGAAAAAATTCGAAAGTACGAAATTGCTTTATTTCAAAAATCCGCCGTTTGGTTTTTTGTGCTAATCTTGTGCTACTAGACATTTTACAAAAAAGACCATGTGCACTACGACGGAAGTACGAAATTGCTAAGTTTGTGCTACTGAAATTTTGGGTTTTTGTGCTAATGTTGTGCTACTATACCATCTACAGAAAAAATGACCAGGATCAACTGCACATCGAAACAAGTTGCTATTACTCAACTATGGAATTGTTAATTTTGTGCTACTGACGCTTTGGGTATTGCGCTACTACAGCTTTGACAGAAAAACTGACCAAAATCGAGTGAACGAAAACAGTTGCTCAACTACGAAATTGCTACTGAACCTTTAAATTTTACTACACCTTTTACAAAAAAGTGTTGCTGTTACTCAATTATGAAATTGCTGATTTTGTGCTACCGAAGCTTCGGGTTTTTGTGCTAGTACAAATTTCAGAGAAAGAAATGGCGAGAATGAAGTGACGTGTGCAAAATGAAATAAGTTGCTATTACTCAACTACGAAATTGTCAATCTTGCTCTACTGAAGCTTTTAGTTTTTGTGCTAATTTTGTGCTACAACACCTTTCACATAAAAAAGACAATGATCAATTGATGTGCACAATGCTATTACGCCAAAATCGCTTATTTTGTGCTGGGTTTTGTGCTAGTTTTGTGCTACTACACAATTTACATAAAAAATGACCAGCATCAAGCGATATGCACAACTAAAACACATACTGTTACGAAATTGTTAATTCTGTGCTACCGAAGCTTCGGGTTTTTGTGCTATTTTTGTGCTACTACACATTCAGAGAAAAAATTACGCGAATGAAGCGACGGGCACAAGTCACTATTACTCAACCACGAAAATGACTTTGTGTTTTTGTGCTAGTTTTGTGGTATTTCACCTTTTACAAAGGATGCAGTGATGTCCACAACGAAAAAAGTTACGACTCAACCACGACCCTGCTAATTTTCTTCAACTGAAGCTTTCGGTTTTGTGCTAGTTTTGAGCTACCGCGCCGTTTACAGATAGAATCACCACGATTAAGTGATGTGCACAACGAAAAAAGTTGCTGTACGCAACTATGAAATTGCTAATTTTGTGCTACTGGCTATTGAAAAAACTCGCAATTTGTTTTTTTGTGCTACTGGAGCGTTGAATTGTTGTGCTAGGTTTGTGCTAGAATGTAATTTACAGAAAAAAGGATGAAGTGGTGTGCACAACGAAAAAATTCGAAAGTACGAAATTGCTTTATTTGAAAAATCCGCCGTTTGGTTTTTTGTGCTAATCTTGTGCTACTAGACATTTTACAAAAAAGACCATGTGCACTACGACGGAAGTACGAAATTGCTAATTTGGTGCTACTGTAGCTTTGGGTTCTGGACTACTTTTGTGATACTGTACCAGGACCAGGATCAAGTGATGTGCACAACGAAACCAGTTGCTACTATTCAACTACGAAATGACTAATTTTGTGGTACTGAAACTGTGGGTTTTTAGTGCTTGATTTGTGCTACTACACCTTTTACTAAAAAAAAATGACATGGATCAAGTGATGTGCCTAACAAGAGAAGTTGCTATTACCCAACTACGAAATTGCCCATTTTGTGCTACTGAAGCTTTGGGTTTTTATGCTACACTTTTTACAAAAAAAAATGACTAGGACCAAGATTTATGTGCACAACGAAACAAATTGCTACTACTCAAGTACGAAGTTGCTAATTTAGTGCTACTGAAGCTTTTGACTTGTGCTAGTTTTGTGCTACTACACCTTTTAAAAAATGACCGGGATCAAGTGATATGCACAAGGACACAAGTCAACTACGAAATTGGTAATGTTGTGCCCCTCGAAATGTTGCTTTCGTTTTATTTGAAAGACCTGCTGTTTAATTTTTTGTGCTAGTTTTGTGCTACTATACCATTTACAGAAAAAATGACATCAAGTGATATGTTACTATACTCAACTACAAGATTACTAATGTTGTGCTACTGGAGCTGCTGCCATCGCCCGTTTGCCCCCCGCGCGATGTTGACTTCCTTCCCAAAACTGTACGTCTCACCACTCTCATTGCAGTTTTCCGTAAGATGCCATCGAAAGAGCTCTTTCTTGAAGCTGAAAGGTAGTGTTATAAAATTTAGCTGGATACCAGGAGAATATAATCGATACGGGGGTCCTTTCCGAAACTGAAGCGAAATGGCACTAGACTTCATTTTCGTTAAAACATTACATCTCTTGTATCAGAAGAATATAATGATTGGATTGGGACTATATTATAAATTTTCTATGGCTATCAGGAGAACAGAATCGGTGACGATTTCTCGTAATTTTTCCCAGGTTACGAGGAAAACACAAACGTGGAGGAGGTGATTT